AACCCTAAACGCTTAAAACCCAAAAATCCTAAACCCCTAAACCCCGAAGCCCTAAACCCTAGACCTTAAACCCCAAACTCCTAAACCCCTAAACCCTAAGCCCCTAAACCCCTGAACCCTAAGCCCGAAACCCTAAACCCTAAACACATAAACCCTAAACCCCTAAACCCCTAAACCGCAGAACCCTAAACTCCAAACCCCTAAACCTGAAAACCCCTAAACCCTAAACCCCTACACCCAGAACCCCTAAACCCCAAAACCCTGAACCCGAAACCAGGCAGCTAAGAGCCCTCCAGCAGGCACAAGATCCACCGACCTTCACGGTTTAGGGTTGAGGGTTTAGGGTTTAGGGTTCAGGGTGTAGGGTTTAGGGTTTAGGGTTTTCAACAAGCAGAAAGAAAACGGACGAACCAGACCCTCATGTAGGGGCCTTAATAATTAGAATAGAGTTTTGGGGCCCAGTATACTATAATTGTAATAAGGAACCCCCAAAGTAGTATAGGTAATCAATAGAACAGGGTTTTGGGGCCCAATATACTATAAGTATAACAAGGATCCCCAAAATACTATCGGGAATGATTTAGGCCCCATACATTACCTAGGCCCTACAAGACCTTCCTTCTTAAGGTTCCCTATGATGATTTCCTTATGCAAGTCAACTTAAACAGGTAGGTTCTTTGGGGTCCAGGTTAGGGTTTAGGGTTTAGGGTTTAGGGTTTAGGGAAATCCGAACGGGCAGAGGCCCGTGCGGTATCTTGCAACGTTAGGACGACCAATGAGTCGTCCTTGGAAGAGCTGCTCAGCAAATTTAGGATGTTTGGTCCCGAGTGGCAGGTTGGGTTGATTCAGGGCGTAGGGTTTAGGGTTTAGGGTTGGACGTAGGCTTTCGGTTTAGGTTCAGGGTTAAGGATTTAGGGTTCGTGGTCAAGAAGTAAGGTAAGATAGGGGCGCTAAGCCGAATAGGGGTTTCGTGATACACTATAGTGTAGCTTTCTTATTTTAGACCCCTCTGGAATTCCCTAAACCCTAAACCCTAAACCCTAAACCCTAAACCCTAAACCCTAAACCCTAAACCCTAAACCCTAAACCCTTCAGCCCTAAGTCAATCCCAATGCACTGGACAAAAGCCTAAGCCCAGAAACTCTCAAACCTAGGGTTTAGGGTTTAGGGTTTAGGGTTTAGGGTTTAGGGTTTAGGGTTTGCAGGCCCTATCATCTTGATCTCTGGAGTCAATATAAGGGCCTGGGATTCTCGGCTCACGTCGCAAGCGTACGCGCTTGGCACGTTTTGTAAGTTCTTGGGGTTTAGGGTTTAGTCTTTGTTCTTGGCCTGAACTCTGACATTGAAACCAAGCAGGCGCACACGCCATTTTTCCTGGCAGGCCACTGGAATATGTTGTGCTTTTTCCTTGTGGGCTTTAAGAGGACCATATGAAACAAGTTTCAGAGGTTTCGAAGGGTCAGGGACAGACAGCAACTACACCCAAAACTCTGAACCCTCAAACCCTCGAGCTCTAACCCTTAAGCGCTAAACCCTAAATGCTAATTCGCCTTACCCTGACACCTACCTTAGAAGCCGTAAACCCCCAGAGCCTTAAACCCTTAACTTTCAACCCTAAGCCCCTGAGAGGCTAACAGTCTCAACCTGCTGCTCAGAGGACAAAAGGAGCCTGACATAAACCTTGGGGTTTAGGGGTTTAGGGTTTAGGGTCCTTCTTGTTTGTCACAAGACCACCCTAGGGGACATAAGAACCCCTATGAAACTCCTGACAGGACCTTCATAGACCCCTGGATTAGATACCCTGAAGCTTATTAAGGAACCGGGAACCCTAAACCCCAGACCCCTAAATAGGAGGATGTTTTAGGTACTCAGTGGTTCCTTGATTTAGTTTTTGGAGGCCAAAGTCACAGTTACAGTCTGTTGGTGAGAAAAGTTTGAGTTGACTGAGTGTGGCCGCCGGCCGAGAGAGTCGACGAGTCGAGTCGAGTCGAGTCGAAGCTCGGCCGAGACGGGGGAGGAGGCGGAGGCCGGGCCGAGCGGCGGGCCGAGGGCCGAGGGCCGAGGGCCGGCAGCCGAGAGCCGGCGGCCCCAGGCCGAGCCGAGCCGAGCCGAGGGCCGAGAGCCGACGGGCCGGGCCGACTCCGACGGCCGACGGAGACGGAGGTTGAGGGTCTTCGAGGGGCCGAGGCCGAGGCCGAGGCCGTAGGCCGTGGCCGTGGGGCCCCGGCCCGGGCCCGGGGCCCGGACCCGGACTCGCCTCGCCGCGACTGGTTAGTCATAGTCTAGTCTAGTCTGAGAGGATGATTCAGGATGATGCTGATGATGATGATTTGATGATGATGACGATGATGATGATGATTCTGATGATTCTGATGATTCTGATTCTGAATTCTGATGATTCTGATGATGATGATGATGATTCATTGATTCATGATTGATAAAACTGGTATCTGATTGACTGATTGATTCGGATTGATTGAATCGAATCGAACTGATTGACTGATTGATTGATTGACTGAATTGACTGATTGATTGATGGTCGATGACTGACGATGATGATGATGATGATGATGATGATGCTGATGACAGAGTGACAGAGTCGATGTCGATGACTGATGACGGATGACTGATGGATGACTGGATGACTGATGATGATGTTGATTT